AATGTTAACCCTTTTTGGTTAAGTGGAGGCTACTAAGAAGCCCACTCTTCTCAAAGGATATCACAATTTAGTCAACTTCATTTCCAATCTATGAATGCATACGGGATATAAACATGAGACATCATAGTTTAATCGATGATCATCATTTATTTAATTTTTAAATTTTCATATAGTAGTATGATCACTTAATTTTAGAATTATCTATCATCTAGTCATAAATTTCTTCGTTGACATTCCGAGTTAATTCCACTCCTAATCAATATTTTCACCGTATTGATTCATAGACCACTATATAGTCAATCAAGCATCCAACTACATCAGCACGTCGTCTTAACATCACCCTCCCATTATAATTTCATATATCCATATAAACATTATGTTATTCTTCTTTTCTCGATCCTTATACCATATAAACATATAAGCATACGAGTATAATTCTATATTCACTCTTCATATACTTAATACTATCACCCTATATACTTATGCCTGGGACGTAGCTTGATGTTGTCGGAGATCTTTGTGATCCTTCGCGTAGAGGTGACAGGGAGATTTCTTTTGCTTCTCCTTGACTGAACTCCACATAGACTGAATAAACAACCGATTTGGATCCGGGTCCATATTTGTCTCATAATGCAAAATTGGATTTAAAACCATGGAAATCTCTTTAAAACTATGCAATACTACTTTATCAAAGCCGGTGATATCCCGTGGGATCATATCCCAACTATGATATCACAAATGTAACACCCAACTACTTTTCTCCTTTTAAACCATTTAAAATATATGCACATCATCAGCTATTTACCAAAATCGTTAAACTCTTGATCCATAATAAAATTTTGGGAAAAACCCATTTTCATATGTCCCATAAAAACATTGTGGAGAGTTCAGCCTTCCGCCCACCTCGTCGATATCAAACTCAAACTTGCTTCGTCCCATGGCCTTCACCCATTTTAGCTATTGATCTGGGAAAAATATTGACGGAGTGAGACGTCACTCAATGAGTAAATAATAACCTAATACAAACATCAATACCAAAATAGCAACGAGTGATGCTGTGCCCCGAAGTACTTCTCCTATCATCCATAACCCATTCATATCACTTACCATATGTTAACAACCGACGATACATAGTCACATTCAGCCATGGTCTCATAACACATGTCATATACCACATCACCTAAACACAATGATACAGGAGATTTCATTCAATAACACAAACATCAATTCATTTCATCATGCACTCCCATATCATATCAATATAACAAATATCATGAAAAACTATCACATAACTATATCATCCACATGCCTAGTTCATATATCACATAAAAGGAAGTCATCACATAACCTCGCCATAGGTAATCTTTATATAAGGATTTAATCACATGCACAGTTAGGTTGATTTAGTGGCTTTTATTTCATTAGCTTGCCAAACCATACACTCTTCCAAGATATAGGAATATGGATTACCATTGGTTCCAATAAAACATATCATCGCGGAATGTATCTCAACCCGGTGCCATTATACCACTACGGGACGTACCCATCCCAGTCTCGTCATATCACATACTACGGAATGAATCACCGTCCGGTGTCATCATACAATGTTCTCCCTTTTCCCATATCTTGTGTTGAGTGTACAACAAGCCAATCATTATGTTCGATTTAGGTGACCATGCAATAACATTTTCATGTATGCCATTTAGGCCAATCCATTTCGCTTTTATATAAAGATAATATACTTTTAACCATCTCCTGCACTTTCTCATTCATAAGCCTTGTAGTTCATTTCCAGATTCCAATCATACAATTTCGTACTAGGCAAATTATCTTTCCTATCATACACTTCCGATATCCAGTTTTATATCACATCATCATAGCTCATATATCATACCAAAAATCATTGTACAATACCATGTCACATATTAACATGATCCTTCAAATAATTACGCACTCATCCATGTCATCGTCCATTCTCATATCACAACAATATGATATCACACGGATCAATTAGTACTAACTTACCCTGTACTCGAGTCACTTCATGACCCGGATACCATATTTGTATTAATATGAGCACTAGGATAAGATTTACTCACCTCAAATTCTTATTTTCCCTTGGCGACTCTCCGTGCTCTCTTTCTTGTAAATTGGTGTCCCCTTGCTAATCCTACCATGCAAGTCTCATATTTCAAGTATGGAAGTTTAACACTTGTTATGACGGATCATGATCTTAGAAGGAGAAACAAGGCTGCTAACTTATTGGATTTTGTTTTTAGGAAGGAATATCCAACTTCATTCTCAATCCTATTCCATACACTTGTTCCCTTTCCCCCAACTAATTAATTCACCACTACATCAAGCTACCCACGTGGGGGTTTAGAGGAAGTTTGGCAATGGGACTTTCAGAAGGAGTATGGTGGAGCCAGGGGAAATTGCTTCCTTCCTTATTTCAATCCATATTAGCAATAAATGGGAGAATAGGACACACATACAAAGGAAAATGTTAGCCCTCTTTTTCGGTTAAGTGGAGGCTACTAAGAAACCCACTCTTCTCAAAATGATATCACAATTTAGTTAACTTCATTTCCAATCTACGAATGCATATGGGGATATAAACATGAGCAACATAGTTTAATCGATGATCATCATTCATTTAATTTTTAATTTTTCATCTAGTAGTACAATCACTTAATTTTAGAATTCTCTACCATCTAGTCATAAATTTCTTCATTGAAATTCCGAGTTAATTCCACCCCTAATCAATATTTACATCGTCAAGTTACAAACATACGTGTCAAGTAACATGAGAGGGAGAGGGTGTGACATTTTCCTTCACGAAGTTTAGAATAGCTACTCTTCCTCCACTTCTCAGAAGAAAACATTGTCATCAAGGAACCTTTATTGTCATTAAGAGCTTCCAATGTCAAATATGATGTAGCAAATCTTGTAACAGCAGGTCTAATCAAATCTTTCCCTTGAGTGAACTCCCTCATCATGACAATCAACATTGTTCTTGCATAAATAAAATTGGTGATCTTATTCCCATTGGAAATTGTGTTCGCGTTCACCTTAATATGCTTCGCAATATCCTCTAGCATCAAATCCAAGCAATGAGCAACACAATGTGTCCAAAATAAATGTTTCCTTTTTCCATCAACATTTGTCCACTTGTCTTGTAAGCTGAAGCATTATGTGTCACAACTTGGACAACATTCTCTTCCCCAACCTTCTCAACAACTCCATCTAACATCTCAAACACCTTTTCAGTGGTCTTCAAAAAATCAGAAGTGTCAACAGCTTCAAGAAATACAGTTTCACGAGGACTATTAACCAAAAAGTTACAAAGAACTCACCGTTTCTTATCCGTTCATCCATCATACATTATCGTGCAACCCATGACCTTCCATCAAGCTTTGAAGATCCCCAATTTATTCTCCACTTCCTGCATTTCCTCTTTCAGTAGAGTCTCCCTAACCTCATCATATGAAGGACCCTTAAAACCATGACCATGCCGAGCTACATCTTCCCACATTTGGTGATAGGTATCGCATCTAGTTGAATTGAATAGAATATTCATACCACCATTTTGATATGGTCTTGCAAGCCTTTTCCGGGAGTTCTTTCTTCAAAACTGTAGCAATTGTTTTCCGTTTGCCAGCAGTGCCAGTGCCACTAGCTACATTACCCTCTCCATCACGAGTAAAACTGAGATAATGTAACTTCCTTGTCTTAGTCGTATTCCCTTCTTCAGTTGCACTAAGTAGCTTTAGTTTTTTTGCTCTAACTTCATTGGGAACACTAACACAAGCGACATAGTCCTTTCTTGTTCCTGCAAGATGATGTTTGAAGTGAGATATACCAAATACTTCCTTTTCACAATACTTGCATCTCACTTTCTGCCCGGTATCGAGTACATCTTTACCATGCTGCCAACCGGGGTCTAGACGATTGCCTTGTACATTTTTTCTCTTCGCTCTAGAATTGGATACAGTATTGCTTGCACTAGTACCTCCACTCGACATACTTGAAATTGCAAATCCTGCATAAATAAAGAATAAGGGTTGTAAATCACGAAATCTCAACTTGCTCAAACTATCTCAACAGGCTGTATATCACAAAATCACTACATACGAACAAACATATTTTGGTGAATCTGAACAAGCACAAAACTCCCTTAAACCCCAATGAAGTTGCAATGGAAACTGAAACCCGAAGTAGGAAACATCCTCAAATTGGACTGTTTGTTTCCAGCAAACAAAGTAGGAAATTGAACTGTTTGTTTCCACTTTCCTGAATTGAAATTAAATCCACGAAATATAATATACACAGCACCCAGAAATAACAGTTGCTAGGAGCCTAGGACAAGGAAGAGATTACCTGGTGTGGCGTCGACGAGTGGCAACGGGAGACGAAATGAGTGCGACGAGTGATAGGGCTGGCGAGTGCGACAAGTGCTGGAGCTTCGGTGGAAGGCGACAACGACTGATACTTCGCTGGAAGGCCTGCCGTGCAGCGACGACGACGGGTTGTTCGCCGAAAAGGGTGGGTTTTGGAGAGTGGAGACGGAGAGAATTAGGGATTGCAGGGGAATCGAGTGGAGACGGAGAGAATGAGTGTAGAACGATTTAATTAGTAATTTAAAACGTTTTTCTATCCTAGAAACGTAGACCGTACGATTCTACACTTTAAATTGCGAATATAACTGCACTGGTTTCGCCCACATTTCAAGTTGCAATTGGAATGCAAGAGGTCCAATGCCATCTTGTTTTGAGGTTAATGCGAGGTAGATGAAAATAAAATCCCGCCAAAAAGTATCGCTGACAACCAGCCAAATACACAAAAAGATGCCCTGCCCCATACACGTGGCCGTCGTTGATGCCAACAAGACTCGGACTTGACTGGGAGTGACCGCAGACAATTAGACCTTATTACATTAGTTTGCAATCCATGACAAATTGACAAGCCCCTCTCCTCGACTCCTCCTCTCTTGCTGTTCTTCTTCTTCTTCTTCATCCTCTTCTTTCATAAATCATAATTTTCCAGTTTTTAATTACTGCCTGTCTGCCTGCGAGCGACTGCTATCAAGGTGAGAGAGAAGTAGGTGGAAAGCAAAGTCCCCTCTCTCTCTCTCTCTCTCTCTCTCCCTTCATTGCCCCCACTTTCTCACTTTCCTTCTCCCGCAAACTGACGAACAGCGGGGGAGAGTAATATACTACTGAGAGACAGACAACCACTACTCCATCCACCCACCTAATCCATCCATCGCAATTTGCCCTCTCTCTCTCTCTCTCTCTCTCTCTCTCTCACGGAGGCCCCAACCTCACCAGAGAACTACCACGAGAAAGTGCCGCAGCAAATTTGTCTGGGCTCGTTTAGAGTAGAAAGAAACCTAGAGCTTGGGAGTTATTGTCATTCCTTGGTCGCTTTCGGAAACCCTAACCGCGGGAAAAGGGAAGGCAAAGGAGTAAACAAGGAAAGAAATCCTTATCATCACTTGCTTGTGGCGATTGCCCATATTTGATTCCGATCGTCTGGTTCGTGTGAACTGTAGATCCCCTTCCCGATCTGCCCGGCCGAGTCGGCCAGCAATGGGCTGCTCGGTTCGGAGGAGTTGAACACACTAATGCCCCGTGCCGGCGTCGTTGATCCCCCGGAAACTGTGTCAATGTCGGCTTCTTCAGCTGCTTTTCTTGACCGTTCTAGACCTGCTACTTCTAACACGGTACTGCATTTTCTTCCCCCCCTGCTCTTGATCAGACAGACTCGAATTTGGGTTGAATTTATTTGGATCTTGATCATGATGATGCATACCAGGTTCAATGCCTAGTGTCTGTGTTCATTTCTAGGGGTTAAGTTCTGGAAGTAAAACAATTCCTTTTTTAAATTTTATTACTGTTCTTGGCTAAGTTTGGAACTCACTACGTGGACTGCATTTTCCTTTAACTTGTTTCCTAACTCAATTGCATGATGTTAAGAAATTAGAGATGCCAATGGACATTGTTGAACAACTGACATTCATTTTGTGGCTTTGGGCACCCCACGTCAGCCTGTTGGCTCAATTGATGGATTGCTCTATTTTTAGAGTGGTTCTGTTGGATGATTCTGGGTTGAATTAAAATACTGTGTTTAATCTTTACTCCCTAAGTTGTACCTAGTGAAGCCTGTTTCATTCATTGCATCAATGAGACAGCATTCTCTTGCTTCTTGTGTCAGAGTGGTTAAGCTCTAATGGTTTACTGAATGAATCGGTCTGAAAAACAAAATCAACATAGTAACAGGCTCCTTCTGATCGCATGTGTCTGTCTGGTTTAGTTTATATTTGAAGTGAATGGGGACCTGGGTGGCTGCTAATATCCTGGAGATGGTCGAGACATATATAGTAGATGTAGGTGCATAAAGCATAACGTGACCTTGCGATAAATAAATGGCAATTCCCCTCTTCACGTTTCCCGTAGTGCAACAGGAGAACACTATTTTTCCACCTGGAATCCTTACTGAAAGTTCCAACTTCAAATGTTCACGGTTGGCTTAAATAATATTCAACTTTCCAAATTTACAGAAGAAACAGTTAATTGAGTTTTATTTGCCAATTGTTGTGATCAAATGCAGTGTTGGTGTCATTTTTTGGGGGTTAAACTCAAACTGCCTTCTCCATTTATGTTTGTTCACCTGTGTTCAACATTTATGTGTTCTAATTCGACACAATTCTTTAACAGGTTTTTAAAAGCGGACCACTGTTCATTTCCTCGAAAGGTTGGTTACAGCTCTTCCTTGTGAACAGTTGATTCTAGATTTATCTCTTCCCTAGTCAGTGCTGTAAAACTTCCCTAGTAGTTTTAGTTCAGCAGTTGTGTTGAAGATTACTCTTCTATTTTTTGTGTCTGAACATTGTGCAACTGCTCTAAAGCACAAGACGGAACAATTAGCTGGATGGGAATCAGTAATGACTGAGTAGAAATTTGCCCAAAATTATATGTACAGTTGTAGAATCATCAGCCTGAACCTTATCAATTTGACGATTCACTCGTTTGTTTGAAAGCAAAATGTTCTCTCTAGTCCAGTTGAGTTCATGTAAAGTCCCACAGACTCCCTTACATCTGTTGTACTTACTTAAACCTTATTCTTGTGGATCCTGGTTCTTGTGCTAGGAACTTGTTTGATTCAGTTTCCACTGATTTTTCGGGTGGGATAGCATTCTGTTTGGTGTGGAAGGGGAGAAGGGGGCTTCTGGAGCTTGAGGAACTGAGATTATTCCTTAATTTACAATATATAGTATTTAAAGAGCGCGGAGGGGGACCTCCATCACCTTCTCTTATTTGGCTAGTTCAATAGTAATAGGGGGCGTGTTATGAGTCTTATGTTCAGAATTTTGTTGCAATTTTATCCAGATTTCCTTTGATACTCCCACTCGTTGAGTGACTTATTTTGAGGCCCTAGAAACCCTAGAAAAGAGATAATTATTCTCGGACTTGAAATCCAAAATTCTGCTTATTTCATTAATTTGTTCGGGGCCTTTTATCTATAGGAAATAATAACAGGGTTACTGTACACCCTGGATATTGGCAACGTACGTAATGTCACGATGTTTGTAGATTTAACTAGTGTCATTTGTGTACCTTAAACCAACCGATTTATAAACATCTATATAAGCTTTTGTAAGGATATCATTATTATTCTGTAAAAGACGAATGTAAAGTTGAATTACAATTCCATTTGTCAAAATTTGCAAATTTATGTATGCACCCTAAAACCAGGGTACACTGTTGATGCGCTCTGGGAAATAATCATTTTCTAAGAAAGGGAGGTAATGGTACTCATACTTCCCCGTTTGAACTTTGGAGCAAATATCATCTCCAGAAATTATAATAGTAGGCCCTCCTTAAGAAGTGAAACATATAATAAGGAAGAAAAAGAAACTCTAATAAGGCAGGAAGCTGAGCTGTAGTTTACAACTCAACTTCTGTCTCTCTTCTCTTACCTGCTGTAATAGTGAACAAGGCATCTGCTATAGGGTGTAAACCCCCCTTGAATGGGGGATTCACTTTAGATCTACTTAATTATTTTATTCTATTTTTCACCATCTTTATTCTCTATCAATGTTCGACATCACCACTTGCGTCCCTTCAAAATATTCACCCTCCTTATTTCCCAAACAGAAGGGTATCTATAGTATATATATTCGCTTCTGACTTGAGAAAAGGAAAGTCTTCTCCGGTGCTGACAGCTAGTATTGAATTCCTGCAGGACTAGGTTGGAAATCATGGAAAAAGCGGTGGTTTATCCTCACACGCACATCCTTGGTTTTCTTTAAGAATGACCCGGTTAGTTTATCCTTGTTAAATGTCTTTACTTTGTCTACTTGTAGTTCTATTCTTTACTTTGGTAAGTGTTTAGCTTAATCTTCGCCACTTCAAGGTTCCCTGCTAGTTTCTTCATCCTTTGGATGGTACTTTGCCCCTTGGTCTTCATACTTATCGAGGATCAAAACACTACTATTGGTTTTGGTCAATAATGGACATTTGATTATCTTATCGCAGTTCTTTATGTTGATTGCACCTGGTACTGAAAGATTCGCATTAGTGAGTTCCTTGTTTTATGATTATGCTCTAGGTGTATTATTATTCTCAAATATTATATTTTAATTTTCTTAGTGAGGTGCTGGTAGTTTGGTCTATGTGCCCAGTCTGCTGCTAACTGACATTTGAAGTAATTTATGCATGAGCAAATCGTTGCAGCTGTTACTCATATTTTTTTCCTTCTTTCCTGCAGAGTGCCTTACCACAAAAAGGTGGTGAAGTGAACTTAACTTTAGGAGGAATAGATTTAAATAATTCTGGGAGGTATGCCTGATAACCTTCTGTGTTCTGGGATTTCATTGTTTGGCTTGTATATGATTTCATTTTTTTACAGTGTGGTTGTAAGAGAAGATAAAAAGTTTTTGACTGTTTTGTTTCCCGATGGCCGGGATGGACGAGCTTTTACTCTTAAGGTAAGTGCTAGCTTCCATGTCCCTTCTTCCAAATCCACCCTAGCCTAGATTTATCCTCTAAAACAAGTTATAGTGTTGCTTATTATCTGCTGGCCTTTCCGTGAACTTAGTATGCGAACAAGAGCAATATCTCCCCCAACAGTTAAATTAAAATGGTTATTTGCGGCATTTGCAGGCCGAAACTTCTGAGGATCTGTATGACTGGAAGAATGCTCTTGAACTTGCCCTTGCACAAGCACCAAGTGCCGCTCTTGTTATGGGGCATAATGGGATTTTTCGAAGTGACAATACTCATCCTGTTGATGGCTCTTTCCATCAATGTTCGTACTCCATAACAAGTCTCCAAATCAATCACTTTTCCTGTTATATATGATCTATATCCAGTTATTTATGAATATTCTTGTCCTGGTGTTTCATATGCACTAGCCAACTTTTCTGCCCTTGGTTTTCAGGGAGAGATAAGCGCCCTGTGAAATCTTTAGTTGTTGGAAGACCTATTTTGCTTGCTCTTGAAGATATTGATGGTAGTCCATCTTTTCTTGAGAAAGCTCTTCAATTTCTTGAGAAGTATGGTGAGTCTTAGTTGCATGTGCTCTGCCTCCTCATAACTGTCTTTCTTTAACTGTAAAGCTAGCTACTTTTCTGATGGAAAATACTGCTAACTTCTTCTAAATAACTTCCTAAGTAGGACAAATAATAACCTGTTTCTGGAAAAATTGGAGTGATGTCTTTATACAAAAAGAAAGTGGATTTAGAATTTGCAGGTGAGTGGTTTTTTTTTTTTTTGTAGAGTATAGGGCCCTTAGCAGTATATATGAATAATAGTTGGGTGGGTGGGGGGTAGGAAAACTGAATTATAGTTACTGGCATAATATGTGAAAATATTTGATTCACAATCTGCAACCCCGACCTTTGTGATGCAATGGTTGGTGGTAGTAAAACTGAATTATAGTTACTTGGCATTAGAATCTCGTTTCCTTGTTTATTTATATTTGTGATTTTTGCATCTATTTCGTTGTCTTTGTAAGTTTCTTGGTCCTTCGTTGTTCTTACTGCTCTTCAGTCTCTTAGGTATAACAATTTTTGTGTTACCTTTGATCTTATTTCATAGGAATTAAAGTGGAGGGGATTCTGAGACAGTCAGCTGATGTTGAGGAGGTTGATCATAGAGTTCAAGATTATGAACAAGGTACTTGTGACTTCAAAAAATTTCAAACGTCTCTCCATGAACCTTTGGTTTCTGAAGATCGACTTCACTAGAGTTTCTCCTGGAACTGTAGGTATTCTGCGTTTCCGATTGAACTGTTTTTTAGACATGGACTCTTAATGTATCACAATCCGTTTTTAGGTAAAAATGAATTTGAGGCAAATGAGGATGCTCATGTTGTTGGTGATTGTGTAAAGGTACTAGTTGGTAAATTGAATCTTGTTGGATAAACGGATTGAGTTCTGTACTCACCTCGGTTTTCTTTCTGTCTGCAGCATGTCTTGAGGGAGCTTCCTTCCTCCCCAGTTCCTGCATCTTGCTGCACTGCATTGCTGGATGCCTATAGTGAGTTGATTGTTTATCATATCTAGCTAATATGTGTTTGGGTATCAGATCCAAACTCAGTTGGACGTTTTTGGTGTTATCGAAGAAGTCAAACTTTTACTCCAAATGCTATGTTGTGTCGACAGGGGTCATTTAAGTCTGTGCATGCTCATTTGTCGGTACTTTATGTTAGAACCAACCATTGTTTTTTGTCATCTGTGATTGAAACCCATCCTTTTATCTAATACATTTATTTTGGTATGTAATCATTGTACTAGTATCCAATGTGCATCACAATTTATTGATATTTTTATCTCCCTATTGAATAAGAAATCGATGGGAAAGAAGATCGGATATCTGCTATGCATTCTGTCATATCAGAAACATTTCCTGAACCAAACCGGAGGTTGTTACAAAGGTAAAACTCTCTGAAAGTTCTCTTTCTCCAGTTTCAGGTTGTCATAGTTCATTGGCTATGATAAATTCCTTGTTATCTGCTGAGATGTGGAAAATCTCAAATTAATTTCATTTGTTTTGTGTCTCGACAAATACTTTTGAATTTATCTCTTGATCATTAGTATATAAATGTTCTACATTTTTTGTCCTGAATATATATCGAGCCAATAGTATTACAAATAGGTATTAGAATACTTTTTGACTATGTCAAATTTCTGTCAAGAAATTAATAATTGGTTCCATCACGCATGTTCTCTGTGACTGTGGTAGTGCCATATATTGCAACTAAATACTCTCAAACCTGGAGTTGTGGTAATCCTGAAACAAAGCTAAAGCTTCTTCATCTTGGATTTTTTTGTCATCTCATGTGAAAGTTGAGTAATTCAGTTTGCTGCTTGTCAGACATCATACAAAGCTTAACTTTTTGAGGGATAGGGGCAATTATGTGGAAATGAGCCATTTGACAATGGCTTCGGCAGTTTTATACATTGTTGGAACCTGGTGAAAGATTAGTATAAATGAAACCAATGTTTACCTCCTATTATCTTTACACTGGGGCTTGCAGTAATGGTCGACTTATCTGAAACTGATATTATTAGCTTTGGGATTGAAAAGTAGATGCACACTTCACAGCTGCTTAGTTTCCAACTCAATCTTTGTGGTGGCTAATTTTGATTTCATTTTACTACTTTATGTTGGCATTCTTCACAGGATTCTGAAGATGATGCATACAGTCTCTTCTCATTCTCGTGAGAATCGGATGACTCCTTCTGCTGTTGCTGCATGCATGGCACCCTTGCTTTTACGCCCCTTATTAGCTGGCGAATGTGAGTTGGAGGATGACTTTGACGCTAATGGTGACAATTCTGCTCAGCTTCTTGCTGCTGCAAATGCAGCCAATAACGCTCAGGCCATCATCACAACTCTTCTGGAAGAGTATGACAGTATTTTTGATGTAAGATATCTCAATGTCTAATTTCAAATGTGATTGTCCTTCTCAATGTCTGACTAATCCGGCAGAGGTACTTCACTTAGGCTGTTATTGCTACCTCTGTCACCAGTTTCGTTTAGCAGGTCAGCTTTGATTGATATCTGGCCAACTTGAACGCTTAGGAATAGAGGACATAATTGGTTGGTAGAAGGCTAATGCTATCTGGATAGATACACACTATACTATGTTTCTTTCTAACCATGGTTATTATATCTATCAAGATGAATCAGAATCAAGTGACCTATTACTAGTATATATGTCTCTCTTTGTCGGGTCTCCTTTATGGTATGACCATAATGGAACGTCTTGAAAAATTCCTTATTCACTTGAATAACTTCTGAAAGGTTCTTTGATATATTCCATGAAATAAGTCAAAGTGATATGTGATGTTATGGACATGTTTATTTAGTCATTTCTGTTTACACTTGTGATAGTTATGACCTCTCTGATTGGCAGCCGGGCCATATAATTATTAGCAAGGTATGTTAGAATCTGCAGTTTTCATTGTGGACAAGGGGTCAGAAGAGATCTGGCCAACTTGAAGGCACATGATAAGAGGACTGAATTGATTGGTAGAAGGGATAATGCTATTTGGATAGATACACACTATATTGTACTCCTCTCTAATCATGGTTATTGTATCTATCAAGATGGATCAGAATCAAGTGACTTATTTACTAGTATATTAGCTCTTTTCGGGTCTCCTTTATGGGTATGACCATAATGGAACATCTTGAAGGATTCCTTATTCACTTGAATCACTTCTGACAGATTCTTTGATATATTCCATGAAATAAGTTAAACTGATATGTGAAGTCCTGGACATGTTTCTTTAGTAATTTCTGGTTACACTTGTGGTATTTATGACCTCTGTGATTAGCAGCCAGGCCATAGAGTTATTAGCAATGTATGTTAGAATCTGCAATTTTCATTGTGGACAAGGGGCAGAAGAGTTATGGCTTGATTGAATTAGAAAGATGCAGGTGTTATGATTCTTGTTTTGCTGGCTCCAGGGCATCACTTTCTTCTGTGTTTTAGTTTCAGGGGACCGTTCTGTTGGTGGCCCCTGTTTATTTCATTTTGTTCCTTTTCCTTCTTTTGTATAGTTTTTGCAATTCATCTCGTATGTTGTCTGTTCTCCTGCATTTATTTTCACTGTCTTTTATAAACAACAAAAATGTCTTCACTTTTGCTTAAGCATTTAGATAAGCTTTTATGTTAATTTTGTTATTTCATCCGTGTCCTTTTAAACAACCTTTAGAAGGTGAAGATGTCTGTGCATATGATAAATCAAATAATAAGATGTAACGCTCGATGGTGATGGCATATGTGTTTGACAATTTTGCAATTTTTGGTACTGTTTATGATGTTAGACAACTCGGTGTTGATAGAATGCTCCTTTTGTTTCAGGATGAAAATCTACAGAGATGCTCTATCTCGGCAGATTCTCGGATGGGTAAAAGTGGAAGTGAAGATTCTAGTGATGATGAAAATACAGATATGAAAGATAACAATTACCATGATGCAGAAAATGAAGTTGACCAAGAAACAGATGATGATGCTGAGCGTGTGCTTAGTGGGAAACTGAGTGAATCAAGTGGTTCAGCTGGCAGCGATCTTTATGATTATAAGGTTCACTCCATCGTCAAACACTTAACATTTGATATTCTAGTTTCTTTATGAAATTGAAATCTTGCATGTGTTGCTGTTAAATGGGATATTAAAAAGAAAAAAGTTTCTGTTGATTAGCACGTTGCAAGCACTTACAGGGCTACTCAGCTCGTAAGATTATCTTCCTGAGATATAACAGCACTCAACTGAACTCGTTGTTGCCTTAACTAAAGGGTGAGAAATAGAGAAAAATGAAAGAGCATGCTGACAAATTCGGCATGGGCTGGATAGTAGGACAGAAAAATATGCCGATGAGGTTTAATTAACTTTCATTCTGTTTCAGTCACTACAGTTTTTACTCCCATTTACTCGGGGATTAAATACTGACAAAGCTGCCGGGTGCCTTTTTGCAACTTATTTGAATTTCACCTAGCAGCCATCCTAATAAAAACGAGTAATACTAAAATAGGAGTGCCCTTGGAGTCTTTGGTAGGTGCTTGTTCAATTTTACTACATGTCATCCTGGTACAAGTGAATAATACTATAATTGGAGGTGCCTAGGAGTCTTGGTAGCTCTAATGTTTTATTCATTGGCATTGGAGGCATGGGGGTTTGTTGTAACAGCATTTGGGGCAGCCATGTGTGTTAGAATTTTTTTTCTGAGACTAGAGGATGCAAAATGCATTTAGTGCTCTACTGTTGTAGATTATAACGATGAAGCATCCTATAATGATGAATTGTTAATACAATTATGGCACTTTCATTCACTTTTTGGTCTTCGTTATTTCTTTTGGTGAACAGTTTTTAATCTTTCTTGTAATGGGTTGTATACTGATGAGTTACTTTGTATAACATGCAGGCTTTTGTTGGTGCTGAATCAGGTGTCAGATCACCCATTGGCAATCATACCCCTGCCGAGAGTTCAGACTTTGTGACTGAACCTCCACACGTTAGAGATCCTGGTGCACAACTTCTGAAGCTAAGCGAACATAAGAAAGGAAATGAAAATTCAATCAACGGAACAGATTCGTTGAGTGATTTACCTCCTGGTGAATCTTACCGGTCAATGGGAGAGATCCTATCTACAATAGATGCTGAGCCTCAGGTGCCTATATCATCTATTGAGTCATCAGCTGAGAAGCCAGCCGGTAAAGCTACAACCTCCAATGCCAATGGAAAGCGATCAACATTCTGGGGAAGAAGCAATGTATGTCTGACATTATTTCTTTTTAATATCTACAAGAGCATATAAGGGTTGAAATATTTTTAGTCCAGATTTGGAAATCAATACCTTTCTTGACTTTTCACTAAGAAGATTATTAACTTTAGGCATTTAAAGTTTTTTTTGCTTTTTTTATGTTTCCATGTGAAGTATTCCAAATAAAAGAATTTAAACTTCTTTTTGGGTAATAAACACTGAAGCATGGAAAGATAGTGATAGCAACTTTCGAAACAACTTTGAATATGCAGGTTTTAGTTCACGGTAGCCATGTAAATACATGGAAAGGGAGTATGAAAAATGTACATCCCCTGTTAGCATATGCGCCTGTCATGTAATTTGAGCCATTACCTTACAATTTGAAAACTATTCTATTGGCATGTATTGCTTAGGATGAAGTATGAGAATTAATCTTAGTGTCCTTCCCACTCCGATCTCTTTTATTTGCATTCATGCTCATTCTCTGGAATCCTTTGTTTTTATTTACAGGGCAGAAAGACACCATCTACGGAGTCAGTTGATTCTTCTGAAGAAGAGTAAGATCTCTATGTTTATATGCACCTAAAGTGGCTTGTTTTTGGCTATATTTGTTTCATCTAATTTTTATCTCCTAAACTTGACTTGAAACGATAGCCCAAACAAATGCACTTGGCAAACAACTTTCTGAGAAAGAGTGACCGAGTGACTATACATGGGCCTCACAATGGAAAAAACCACCTCATTGATGCAAATTTTCCTTTTTCCAACTTGGCCATCAAAATGAGTATTCTGTTTCTTTAATTATTGCCCATTGTAGTCATTTTAGTAAACCCATTGATTTCTTTATTGATGAAAAATCCTAGTTTAATTCCTGGAAAAAATCCTAGTTTACAAATGCTTTTAGTAAATGATTTTTCTATATAAAAAGAGTGACTATACATAGGCGTCACAATTTAATCTCATTGATGGAAACTCTCTTTTTTCCAACTTGTCCCTCTAAATGAGAGTTCTGTATCTTATTCATTGCCCATAGGCATTTTAGAAAGCCTATTGCTTTCTTTATTGTTGAAAAATCCTAGTCTAAATCCTGGAAAAATCTACACGTCACTGAATGGAAAAAATTCAAGTTGGCTGGAAAATTGCATGCAAAAATTCATATAGCTGATGCACATGATGGGTTAAGGTTTCTGTGGTGGCTGTGGTGGTGATCCTGAATTTTGTCTAATCTTACATGAGTTGAATTGTGCTATACAGGCTTGCTATTCAGAGGCTTGAGATTACTAAAAATGATTTGAGGCATAGGATAGCAAAGGAGGTTGGTAGACTCTTATTTGTATTACCTATGTTCTGAAGCTTGGGACGGTGATGCTGTTGTTACCTTACTGGATTTCCTATTCATATCTACAGGCTAGAGGTAATGCAATTCTGCAAGCTAGTTTGGAGAGAAGGAAACAAGCTTTGCATGAGCGGCGCTTGGCACTTGAACAAGATGTATTCATTTCTATCCGAATCTTGGGTTCCACTGTTGGTTGCTTTATTTAGTGAAACATAGAATTTGAGGATATGGGCTTTGTGCTTACGTTAGGGATGTATGGGCAGAACATGCGTGTGCTGGGATTTATTGTTCCATCAGGATCTCTTCTTTTCTTGTGATATCTTTTTTCCTGGATTAGCATTTACCCTTTTTTGTTGAAGTCTGCTGTCTCTATTGTTAGTATATATAAGCAATTTCTCCAGAATTTAAAGATCCGATTTGCTTCGGTTTCTGTCAAGTATTTATCTCTTATCTACTCTGGTCTCGTATTTACCTTTCTTCACTGTCTATTTAACGATTATCGCTCTGTAGGTCTCAAGATTGCAAGAGCAGCTGCAAGCTGAAAGAGATCTTCGAGCTGCATTGGAAGTTGGTTTGAGTATGACTTCCGGGCAGTTGTCAAGTTCACGGGGCATGGACTCTAAAGTTTGTACTGGGCTTCTGGGATTTACTCTAGTTTAATTACATCCTAAATATGTGGGTGTTCTAGAAATAAGTGGTATGTTTCCTGATTTGTAGACAAGGGCAGAGCTGGAGGAGATTGCTCTTGCTGAAGCAGATGTAGCGAGGTTGAGGCAGAAAGTTGCTGAACTCCACCACCAGCTCAATCAGCAGCGGCAGCATCATTATGGTGCTTTAACTGATGATCGTTATCAGCATATCCAAAACCATAATCCTCATCAGTGAGTTTCCAAAATCTTACTGTCATTCTATCTTCTCTGTGCATAACATGGAGTTGAGAACAGAGGAAGACTTCTAGAAATTAACGAGTGAATGGCTGTTTTGAACATGAATCTTGTGGTCAGCCTTTTTATTTTATTATCTCAGCTGCTTATCATACAAAGTGTAAGGTTCCAGTTTGTTGAGAGCATGATTGCAGTGTAACTTTTGCAATTCATTCAGTATAATTATGCTGCAATGCTTTGTTTAAAATAACGCTGCTTGATCAGAATGTTGAGGAAACTTCTAAGATACTTCGTCTTGAGGAATGGTGGTGCCCAAAGAAAGTGAAGGATAAATTCATCTGCCTATGTTTGACGAGATTTTCAAGTTGTTGCTTTAATTATTAGTCCACCTGGTTGTGCAGGAGATTTCTTCAGCAAGATTTTGATACAACCCTTGCTTTTCTAAATCATGAAAGAAAACAGAGAACTGAGGTACTTCTAGCTTATCCTTCATTGTACATTTGTGTTTTAAGGTGGAGAATGCATCACATGGATCATTTAAGCAATCATCTTTTTAGGTTTCTTCATTTCTCGAGAAGTTCTTTTGATTTATTCTTATTTCATTCTCTTTTCTTATGAACTCTTCACTTCTCCACCCAAGATCATTAACAACTAGTCTTTTGTCTGCTAAAAGTTTGTGATTCCTCATTCCTGCAAACAGTGTGTGCTATTGGCAGTTATTATTATGTCTCCTGGTGCAGATGTAGGAGAAAATCAATCAAAATTTTGTTAGATTGCATTTGAGTATAGTGCGCTGGTGAATCCTACTGATTCATCATATGTGCTTCCCTCCAAATTGTACTCAATGCCGACCTTGTACAAATAGTACATTAATTCTTGGAGAGAGAAAGGGAGGGGGCTGATCAATTGTTAGCTGATTATTAAAATTCAATGAGGTGATTATGTCCTACCTTTCAGAAATTCGAAGGTGTGTTTGTTTCAGCTCTTTTCCTGACACGTTTTCGGATGATTTTATTTCTGCTTATATTATTAAACTATCTTCTAGTTGCTTTTTAATGGATCTCCTTACGAGGAAATTAGATTCCGGTTCATAACTTACCTACATTTAATGTATCCTTCTAAATGAACTTTTTGTTGCAGGAGGTTCTATTAGGAGCAGATTGGATGAATAATATTAAAGGAGCTGCTGGCAGCAGTAGCAGGCAGCCTAATAATAGAAAACAATATATGGAACCGACAACCAGCCTCAGTGACTCTAAAAGTACCGAGGACGCTTCTACCAACTTATCCATGGATGAGCTTTGTGGCGTCGTTGATTCTGCTCCTACATCAACTTCGAGACCTGTAGAGGTAGCAATCTCTTAGTTACCAAACAAACCAAGGCTTAACATCTATCTCTATGTTGGGGACTCTTATCCTTGTATTCACATTGCTCTATGTAGGCGACAGATTACACCAGACATCCATCAGCAGCATCTTCTGCTTTAGTGGAACTGACAACGCGCCTTGATTTCTTCAAGGAAAGGCGGTCACAGCTGATGGAGCAGCTCCACAACCTCGATTTAAACTACGGCACGACTTCTTCACAGGATTTTGTGTATAGTAGGCCTCCATCTTCCCCTCCATGGAACTGACAGGAAATAAACATCTTCTGTGATCAGCAGTGTTGTTGTACATTCTCTATCTTCCTGTGTTTGCATATAATTCTTTCCCCCCCTCTTATCTCAATTGTATTCTTCTTGCTCTCCACCTAATCAAGAGTATGTCCTTCCTCGTTGTATGATCAAGTGTGCTCTCGCGAGGTCAGCAGTTGATGGGAGGGCGCCTGGGGAGATCATCTATGACTGGACAAGAGTGACTGTTGTGTTCTCTCCCTCCGGTTTTCTATTCTATTTCAGGATTTCCCCTTGCTGTTTGAGAGATGCCTATGTATATGAGATTTTGCTGTTTGAGAGATGCCTATGTATATGAGATTTTAATGTTTGTGTTGAGGTCAGTATCAATGTGGTACAGATGAAAAATACTCAAAAAGTCCAAATACTGATGAATGGTCCCTAAAGCTCTGCTTTCTATATTAGCCTTAGTTCCTGGCCCGTTGGCTGAATGCATATTATTAATGCGTATAATAATAATAGCAATAGTACAAAGTGATATATGTATATTTATTTAATATCATAAAAGAGTATAAATTATTCAATTATTAAAATTTTTGAAAAGAAATATACGATATAAAGTTTTCCGACATCCTAATGGAATTATCGATGAAGTCTTTACTGAAATTAGAAAAACAAAACTCATGCAATGAAGTCTTACAGAAATAACGAATAAATAAAAACTCATTGATGAAGTCCTTACTCAAATTGCACTTCGTCCGAAATTACTACACATTGGAGACCTTCTTTGTGACTGATCTGCCATCAACAAAATCATCATTTCCACCAATAACAATAGATTCTTCTCCATTAAAGAAACTTTTATCTCCAACACCAACAGTTTTTTTCTTTCTTCTCTTGCATTTTCATTGAAAGTCAAAATTTAATGGTATATTATATGCAAATATGAAACATAATGTCCAAGTCATGAACATTGTGGGAGATTTGCTCTTTCTCCCGGCACAGAAACTTCTATCTACACCATCAACGGTCTTTTCCTTCTTATCAACAACGTCATTATCTTCACCGTGTCTACTATCAATATACTCTTTCTTCTTTTCTTGCATTCCACTGAAATAAAAAATCAATGTATGTAAATATGAAAACAATCATTTTTATGGAAATTTACATAATCAGAGCCTTGATTTGCTCTTTGTCATTCTTCCTTATCTTTAAAACGGTATATTCACTAATGAGATTCATGATATTTTAATTAGTTAGTTTGTTGTCGAATTTCAACTCTATTTACTTATTTTGTAGGATATAAGTAGCTGGAGGCTCTCAAATTCTATTACTAACTTGGATTAGCTTCTCGGCATGCATTACGAAAAATCTACCTCTATAGTAATCGAAAACCACAAAGTCCAATTCAATGGCTCTTTCTAAGAGATGGATATCGAATCTGTAAAATAACAAGTGAAATTCACTATCTAGTCCAAAATTTCAAGTTTTAGGGGACACAGCTTCTTTTTTGAATGAATGAATGAATGAATGAATGAATTTGAAGTTAAAAAGAATTAAGAGTAGAGTTAGATTGTTACATACACCTATTGTTATATTTAACATTGTTGTACCATTCCTACAAAAGTACCTATCAGAGTCTACTTTGACTTTTCGTTGATAGGTTTCGCATCCAACACATTACTATCTATTCCTAACTTTGACAACTTTACATTGGATAAATACATTGTTCTAAATATTACATAAAAGAAAACATTTGAATATTAATTAGTCATAACATTTTTTTAAACCGCTAACTTATAACACACATTAAACTATATTGATTCAAATGTTTGACCTATCCACAAAGTCACCTTCACAATCAGTCATCTATACCCGAATTGTATATTATACCTGGAAGTAAAATGCAAATTGAAAAATTACAATATGGAAGCTTTCCTTGGATCTTTTTGCTAGTAAATTTACTGAAATTTTTTGGCATGCTTAATGCAACTTACTAATATGTTTCTCTTAGATTATAAGTTAGTCGTTTCACTTTTGAAGCCTTGTATATATAAAAAATAGATCGAAAACAAATGTCAAATTAATGGATTGTATTGGGCATATTACTATCGAATATGCATGAAATTTTTTTTATCATTGTAGGCTTTTAGTGTGATGTCATCTTGGGTAAGTTATGTCTAATTCATTTTGTTTATTGGGTGTGTGAATCAATTTGATAAACACAATGAAAAAAATATAAAGCAACACTTTAGTTTTAGGGTTTAATCAAGAATCAATTTGCTAATAATAAATTTATGATTTGTTAGGACATAGCAACTATATATGTTGTCTTTTGCGGATTGATTTGGGCCTAGAATTAAAGCGATTTTCAGGCTAAAATAAAATTTCAAAAAACTCCTTCCTTGCTTCACGCAGATAGCAGGAAAAAGTGGTTTATGTGGGTTCCTAAGAACAACCTCCTTATATTGTTTTGAGGATTTATCATTGTCATTGTCGACACATTTGTATAAAGGAATTCGTAAGTATGTGTTACTCCCCCCCTCTCACTTTTCGAGTAAAGTTAAGAAAATAGTTAGAAAGAACCAGTACCCATATTTCTTCCCCATCCCACTAACAAAAGAAGCTAACTTTAGCCAATATAGAAACAATGTTTTATGTGCAACTCTATGAGCAGCCTAGTTGGCAGTTCGTGGAGCTGCACTAAAATCTATACAATGAGAAGAAGACTGAAAAAGCCAACAATCTTGAATGAGGAGACCTCTAATGGAATCTTGCGCCACACCAAAGTTGAGCTGACGGATAACAACTTTTGCATCGGCTTTGAGGATGATACAAGACAAACTTCTAGAAGCTGCAAGAGAGATCGTATACCTAATTGCAATGAGTTCTGTGAGATATGGGTCAAAGATCCACTGGTGCTGCACATAGTGTTGGTATGAAAGAAGACAACTTTGAGGTTGTGATGATTGAAATTCAAATCTTAATATGCAAAAGATGTTGCTCCATTTCATAAGTGGGGAAGAAAGGAGAGAAGGATTCAAAATCGCCAAATAGCTCAAGGTCTTAAACCTAGAAAAGACATAAACATTGCCAAGCTACTTAATTAAAGAACATTTAGATTGAACTGTTGAAGAGAAGACCGCGAGAAAGCAAACATTGAAATGGAACCATTCCCATTGAACTATACGTGGCACAAGCAACATAAAAATAGGGAAACAAGTTGTTTTTGCTCGAGATGTGCTGAGCGTTTTATGGGGATACGCTCTGAGACTTACTGATAGTTTGAAGGGAAACACCTACGATGACCTTCAAAAAGTGTTCTCAGGGAAGCTTGAGACACCCTCCGATGCTCAAGTTAGAGAGAGAATGATTTAGGGATAGAAACTGAATAGTAGTTGAGGGTAGTTAAGTTACCATAAATGAGTTAGAGAGGGGGTATTTATACTCCTCTCATATGTACGATAGACATTTAATGCCCTCATCAAGGGAATCAGTGATGTCCTTTATCGTACAACGCCTTCTGTGGCATTGAATGTGCTTGTCAGGAATGTCTTTTATCGTACGAGGTCTGTGGTTTAATTTAATGTGTCCTCGGACAAGCATGAGTGCCTTCTCCAGGCCGAAGCTTTGCGTCGCCGCCAACACATGCACGTAAGGAGTATATTCACAAAGCCTAAAATGAGATTTAGTTAGAGTTTTTGACAAGGTTCATCCTTCGCTTCCACGCTTCCCGCTAACTCATGGCATTCGCATATGGCTATGAACATGCGGCGTTACTTGCTACTGTGCTGCATAATTCCTCGGATAATGCCTGACACCAAGCGTGTACACCCTTTGTCCATGGTTATACTCGTCCTCATTCTAATGGGCGTGTACACCCTTATGTACCATCACCTCAAACTCTTGCTTGCTATCTGGGGATAGCAAATTTCCTTCATCGCTCCTTCTCCATATTGATTGGAAGTGTCCGTTCGACACCTTCTCCATAGATGGGCATAGGAGTTTCTGATGATTCACAATAAAATTAAACAATTAGAGATCTTGATTGCCGATTGTATTCCTCTTTCTTGTCTTCCAGAGTAATCATTTGGATAGTACACTCGGCATTGTTGATTATCGTCATAAAATGATGTTTATAAACGTCGATCAATGTGTCGGAAGTGGCTAAGAAAGGTCTCCCAAAGAGGATAAAGTAATCTCGATCGCTATGCATGGTCCTATCTCCACCTTCAAATCCCTTGCCATTACTAATGGTTGAGAAACTAAAGATGTTAAAGGGCATAACGTTAAGACTAGACCCTAAATCGATAAGCGCTTTCATCTCGTGATGGTCATTGAGAACACATGGGATCACGAATTAACCCAGATTGGGTAGCATTCATAGTACCAAGAGTTGCATGTGGGAAGGTACGTGCCCCATCGCGAGCTTGCAAAATTGCTCATGATAATGCTTAAGAAGCTATCGTACTGCCCTTAGGGGATCATACATCTCCGTAAGGACTTCCAACATTGTTATGGCAGCTCATTCCCCTCCTATGAAAGAAATGAACTCATTGAGCACAATCTAGCCAGGTTTATCCCTAGGAGGGTTGGAAAAGTCTCCCTATTTGCCAAAATTGAAAGAATTCTCATCATTGGGGCCGCTAATCCATCCATGAGTACTTGTCTTGACGCTAACTGCCATCATATTTTTTTTACCTCTTCACAGAAATGTTAGCATACATGTTTACTATTGGGAGGGTACTTCTCAACCTTAGGAGGCGTGAAATTTCTCTCTGACTTCTTCTTTGTTAAGAAGGTGCCTACGATTGATTTCATTGTGTTACATGCTTCATTTTTACGGAGAAGGGGTGTGAGATACTTTTCGTAGTAGTTTCGTTGGTTCGTTCCCCTCGCCCACATATGAGATGGTTGCCATGTTAGGGGTTTCATTTCTTACTTGCTTTTGTCCCCTAAATAACACTTGGAAACTTGTAATAAGCAAAGAGAATATCTTAAGAACCGGCGTCAACCATCATTCATTTCCCTTGGAAGACCTTTTTGGTCTAGACGACCTCAAATCATGCTCATGTAATCCATAGGGTTCTAGAAGGGTCAGAGGCTTGGCTTCTAGGGTCTTTTCTGGGTGCATGAAAATAGGCACTCGTGGCGCCAAGTTCATCCTATAAGGGGCACATGTGGCGCCTATTTCTGACCTGTGGGAAAAGTACACCTTAGCATCCAGCTTCACATCCTATGAGTTTCTAACCTCTTCCATGACTAGGACATGGCCAGAACCAAGTGATTTGACCTCAATCTACTTAACAGCTTCTTCAGGATTGTTTTTCGTGTTTCTTGGAAGAGTTCTGGCTATCTCTTGGGTCTTTGAAGTTCCAAAAGGGAAGTTAGTTTGCGCTCCATGTTTTTAAGAGTCACCTCCTAGCCTCGGGTATATGCGCGTAATTCATCAATTGTTAAGCATTCCAAGGCAGGAGGTACGTTGCTCTCTCTGAATGGAGGGTGTCTATCGAATCCTAGTGGCGGGGGATTCGATTTCCTTATCCAGTTTGGATTGGGTGGAGGTCTACCATCCCACTGCGCATCATGAAGATATGGCGCAGGCCGTTGAATACTCTAGCTCGCCTAATATGTGAAATGGGTGCATAAGTATGTTATGTTCAGAGTGGATGTAATTTTTGGATAGTTGGCTGGTTTTTACCCTCCTAGGGGAGACCATTGTCTCCTTGGTAGTTGACTCCAAGCTCAATAACTTATAGAAGGGAAATTTTCGAAGCTCCTAGGCATTTGAAGAATTGGGAGGTCGCGAGTTATGGTACCCAAAGTTTGGGCGATTGAAATCACGAGCTTGAGGGTAATGTGTGTTCATGAAATTGAACTCCTCGTTTGAAATACTTCCTATAATCCCACAATTGTATCCATCATGACCATCCTTGCCGCATCGCTCGCAAACGAAGAGTTGCGCGACATAGGTGTTTTAACTCATCTTGAGTGCTTGCACCTCCTTAACTATAGCAAAAAATTCTTTTGGTATGCTAGTAAGAGAGTCATCTGGCTATTGTGCTATATTTACTGTTGCAGAAGCAGTCCTCATTGACTAGTTTCAAGACTTGGTGACCATTGAAGCGTAGTGCTCGAGTGCGGGTTGCGCGATCATTTGAGACACGTCACCTTCAATAGCTGGATTCACTCACCATTACTGTGCTGTTTAGATCGAGGGCCTTGCTGAAGATGCCGACTACTTGTGCAAACCCATGACGAGGGAAAGTATAAATTAGACCTCGATAACATCCCCATGCTTCATACAATGACTCATGATGTCGCTGCTGGAATCGATCAATTTGGTCCATAAGGTTGTCGGTTTTCCATGGAGGGAAAAAATCTCGATAAAGGCTTGGACCAATGCCTCCCAAGTAAAGAAAGCTTCTTTTGGTTGACAAGATAGCCAGATCTTTGCCTCTTTCTCGTAATCGAGAAAGGGAAGAGGCTTAGCCGTATTGCATCAGCCTCGACGCATGGGTGTTGTGAAGATTCACATATTTCTAGATACGTTTTGATATGCTCTATCGGATTCTCGTTATCGTGGCCCTCTAAACATCCAACATTCTGGACCATATGGATTATTGAAGTGCGCAACTCAAAGTTAGGCACATGGACATGAGGCAGGACAATGCTAGAACTAATGTTCGTAGCTTGAGGCCTTGTACATTTGTAGAAAGTTTGTTTTGGACAAGCCTTTAGAGAGCTCGTTGGCTCCATTTTCCCTTGACCTTCGGTCGTCGAATCCTTGCTCCAACAACTTGGGCTCGATGTCCCAGTATGGCTTCTAAGTGGTCCACTAGGCTACTAGGCCCTGAAAATGCAGAAAATGGTACCGAAAGCACATCAATAATATAAAAGCAATCCTAGGGTTGCTAGAACACACTTGAAGCAAACACAACATTTATTCAATGTATTATGATGATAATGATGGGAAATGCAAGCACTTCAGGTCACAATATGGCGGTCTAAAATAGATACTTTCTCGTCTCATCACCCCTCCTCCTCACGAGACTTTTTGAGAGGAGATAGTTTGCCTCTTCTCAAGTCGAGAGACCTCAGCTCTTGATATTATCTCACATGTGTGGCAACTCGTCTTCGTTGGAGGAGAGCGGAGGTTGGGAATTGGTACTTGAGAGAACCAGATTCACGTTTGAACGCTTCACCTTCCTACAGTTTTCCATCCTCTCAATCATTACTTTCCCCGTATGAGGCTAAGAAAGCGAAGTAAATGTCACTTTTGCTATAAGCCATGAGATAGAGAGCCCTTGTTTGCGAAAATGGCACGTGTGATGCAATGAGCGACATTGTAATATAAGGCTCGAAAGTTTGAGCCCTTTTAAGTAGGAGTACCAACATCGAGTTCTTAGTTTTTAGCCCATTTTTTAGAGTCCCTTCATAAAAATGTTGCGTGTCTTGGTATCACTAGTCGATAAGATTCCAACTTCGGTTTATCTTTCACATTGAGGTAGGGGTGGAATTTCTTGTCTCCCATTGA